TATTTTCTAAGACCTTTAATTAGCACTCCGACATAATTATGGCTCGTACTTGTTACTAGCATTATGAATACAGTTAGCAATGGGCATATCGACGTCAAGGCATCGATATGGGCGCGCTCGTCGCCAGTTGCCGAGGTGGAAGTCTCACAAATTCGGAATCCGAGCGTCCCAATCTTGCAACGAAATGCCGGTATTGGCCAAGAGCGCGCAGGCGATACCCTGCATATGCGAATAGTAGGATGCGCAATTGAGTTGGAACCTAGTTATACATGATTCAGGCGGTATGAATCTTCTGCGAAATTTAAAGTAGCTTGTGCCTCTGTAATCTTGTAGTAACTGTCAAAAATGCGTAAAATGATGCACGTCGGAGCACCTGTCTTAATAAGGCACAGTACTTGAGATTTGGCTCTATGGAGCCAAGTGTTCCAATAAGATTAGATCAACATCAGGCCGACTAAACTTGCCTCTTCAATGATTTCACGAACCGCTTCAGACTTGAGCAAGGGTCTTCTGCTTCGGATGAAGTCATCGAGCTCTATGGCGAGGCTTGAAGCGCAGAAGTCACCTTCACAGTCGATGATAATTGATGGTACACATTTGGGGTGGTCGTCTAGAGTAACAATGGCGCGTGCGACAGTAGCATATACTAGGTAATTTTTTGTTATATTGTGGGATGATGTGACTTCAACAATGCAGTAATCTAGTTTATCTAAATGGTTGGGGGGGAAAAGCTCGATTAGAGTTGAACGGTCCACAGGCGGTATCATCTCGCCTGTTTTCAGCGCTAAGGCAGACCTATGAGAATGTTAGTACGAAAGAACAAATTATTGGTATGTATATTAAATTTCGGTCTTATCTGTTCGTTTCTCATTCCAGGTCAAGGTACAAATCTCGTTAATTCTTTACACCTTGTAATTTCGATAGTGCCTTTATCAAGTACGCCTAGATAGTAAGGAAGGAAAATGTGGTCAATGTGAAGGTTTGTGCATGCGGTTTCGTCTAATAACTAATATTTAGCCTTTCCATTCAGATTGCTGACTTGACCTTACAAGTTATTGATTATGGAAAATATTGTTAGGTGTTTGGTTATTTAATTTCAATAATTTTGCTCCATATCATATATATTTTATGTGAAATAAGAATGTAGGCGCATGGGATGGGAGGTAATTTAGTTAACTGACTTTCATAAGAACCGAAATAATATTCGTACTGTTATACCTTGTTGTCATTATCTTTTACCGTAAAAATAGTAATCAAACCTTCATAATTTGATAATCTTCGTGTTTTAAAGATTTGA